GGACACTGTAGATACGTTCCCACAGCCGCATGCTACGTTCCCGTGATCGCCATGCCCTTGCCTTTTCTTTCTCGCCCTTTGTTCCCCCTTTGTCATCTTCACTGCCTCGCTCTCGCGCCTTGTCCTTGGTTGCTAAGCAGCCCCTCTAGTATATAAGGACCCCCCTAGGCGCTCCCTAGTCCCCATCTCGACCTCTTGGTCATTGGGACTAGGTGAGTGACCATAGCGTTGTATCTCTCTTCGATTGCTAATGTATAACTTGGTCATTGGGACTAGTCTGTCGCTGCTTGCGTGAAGACTAGCTTTCGTCGGTCTCGTGCCTTCGTGCCGACCGCCGCTCTGCCCCGTCGAGTTTTCTGATACGTTTATCCCTCTCTCCATCGCTTTTCCCCCTTTCGGCTCCTCGCCGCTCGCCTACGGGGTCGTCGCCGAACGTCGACCCGAGTCTACGCGCCTAGTCGCCGCGACAGGGGCTGAACCAATTGTTGCCTTATAGAGCATCTCTGCTGCCAATGCACGGTGTGATTGCTCGTCCCGAACAGCGACACAGGCGATCTGTCATTTCTCAATGTCAGCAACACACATACACAATAGCACAAGACAAATGCAGGTGGATGGCTTACATGTCGTTCAGCATGGAAAGAGAGGAAGTGCGCATTGAAGTCGTTGATATCATCGTTTGGACCAAGAGAGAGCCAGCGATCGATGAGGAGTCGTAACTCTGGATGCCACTCAGCACAAAGAGCAGGATGAATAGAGTGGAGATTGCAGTTGTGGGCGAAGTAGTGTAGAACGACAGGGCTAAGAGGTGTTGGAGCGATACCATGGACAAGCAGTAGGGCCGACAAAGCTCCGAGCACAGCAAGGTCGTCGAGGCGCTCTTGGGGTATAAATCGTGCAGACTCAATATCCCTGATCGTCACAATGGTACAGTGCCCATCAGCTCGTGGTGCAAAATATAGATGAGCTTGTGCACGATAGGTTTCGAAGAGATTCTGCAGCACCTCTCGCTCAACACCACTACCAAGCGAGAGGGTGCTGCCAGGGTGAGATGAGCCATCTTGAGAGCTAGCAATAGGTAGGTGTTAGGAAATCATAGGTGGTGTAGACAAGACCAAGTACGACAGCGACTTACATCTGAAAGCTCCGGTTGGGGTTCAAGATCTGTGTAAAATCCTGCTCCTTGCAAGCACGAGCAAGAATCGTCTTGAAGGCTTGTCCAAGCCCAGCAACATTAGGGCCACCGATGACCACAAGTCTTGGAGTTGGCTGCTGGTCCAGAGGAGATGAAAGGCGATAGACACCTTCAGGTAGACTAGCCAGACCCAGCTGTCGCACAAAGGCCGATTCGGGGCGAGATGGCTGCCAAGGACTGTTGGGCTGCCAGATCAATGCAGGAAGTGATCGCATCACGACAGTAGATGATGAGCGAGTGATGGTTGAGGTTGGGGGTGAGGTAGCTGCCCCAATGTGAGGTGTAGCGACTCGTCGGGGTGGAGAAGGCGTCGCTGGAACGAGAACAGTCCCATGAGGGCCTTCCATCGGCTCATTGTCAGTGTCGACATCTGACTCGCCACCAGATGTCAACTCTGGTTCCTGTCCACCAGGTGCATCCATAGGGAATAGGGAGGTGAGGAGCAGGGCATAGCAATGGTGATGCCGACGACCATCCTTAATGTAAGTCCAATCGGTGATACAGACTAAATAGCGACAATTGTTAGTATTGTATCTATATATCTGTTGTGCGAGCAGTGACACTCACTGATGTGCAAAACTAAGAGCATCTCACCACCATGATGTTCAGGTTCGATTGTGATGTCGGCATTGACAAAGTTACGATGGAGGGTGCCGAAGGAGGGGGAGGTAAGGGCATCGAGAGTAGTCGAATGAGGTATGTTGCTTGGTGATATGCGAACCGAGTTGTCGCTCATTCGGGGTCGGCCAGCATTGCGAAGCTTCCACAGCTGCAGTGGAAGAGCCTCATCGCCGACAATGTGAGAACCAGAGAGTGATACGAATATGAAACGATGATCTGATGCCTCCATGCGAGTCTTCACCTCTATAAGGAGCTGCCCGACAGTCATAGTGAGAGGGGCATTGAAGTCATGAGCAAGGCCGAGTTCAAAGAGCTTCGTAGTAAACGAGGTGCGAACATTGCGATAAACAAGCCGCTGGCCCTCCTGAGTTGAACGAAACTGTATAATCGTCTTAGCACAGAGCACGATAAGAGGCATAAAGCGATACTAGAACTCACATCAGGAGGATAGACCTTTGCCCGAACTCGCAATCCTTGTTGTTGAGGATCATGTGGCTGGGGACCTGAAATCGACACCCGACAGGCATCAAGAGGTGGAGGGCGAAAGCGACCCAAAGATGGAGGCTGTGAAGCAGGGCCTCGTCCACGCCGGGTGCCGCGAACAGACCTCTGTACTCCCCGAGGCTGTGTTGCTGACGATGAAGCAAGACGCTGCTGATTGATCGTTTGTGACAATGCAAGACTTCCAAAGCCAGGAAGTCTCGAGTTCGGAAGTCCTAAGCCAAGAGTTGCTGTTCCACCAGTTGATGGCCCAGCGATCGGACCCAGCAAGGGTGCCATGGAAGAACCAGCGATCGTAGGGGCAGCCTGAGAGAAGGTGCCACTCAAACCCCGAAAACTCGCATATGGCTGAGAAATTGGAGGAACCGATGCAACATGACTTGCCGATGGGAACGATGGTGCTGGATGTTGGGTAGCAAGAGGGTTGGATGGAATCGCAGATGGCACAGGAGCAGGTGTGGGAGCTGTGGTATTCTGGGTCGCACTAGGGTTAGTGGTCCCTTCACTGCTGTGTGTCGTCGTTGAAGCTCCTGCCTGGTCGAGCCGAAGCATATAGAGACCGAGCACACTCCGAAGCTCTTCGACAGACATTTCATTGAGGTTAACAGCTGTGAGGTTAATTCAGTACTGCATCGACACATACTAGCGAGTGAGCACAACAACTTACAAGAATTATTCATTGTGGGATCAGTAGACTAAAGATCGCACTATATCGGCGACAGAAAGGAGCGACACTTGGGTACAGATGATGAGTTATGAGGGCGACACAAACCATGTAATGATAATGACTCACCGAGCAGGTGCTTTGACCCAAATGGAATATGTGCGACGAGCAAATGCAGCCAGTCCAGGGAGGAACCCAGACTCTATCGCTCAATTGGTCAGCTTCACACAGTAGCAGGTGTTATTCCTCACTTACGATGGATGAAACTCAAGAAAACAGGTATTAGAAGGTCTTCAGCAGTGATGCGACGAACCTCCGACTTGCGATTGTAGTATAGCCTAATAGGCCAACGATTGATTGTCACTTCATGAACAATTCCATCCTAATAAAGCCAGAAATACTCGCCTTTGAAGAGAGTGTGCTAGAGATTAAGGGTATAACTGCAGGCGACGAGGGCAGTGGATGGCAAAGTGTTGCAGAGCGATGATTAGGTAGTAGAGGCAGGAGCACCGAACGAGCGAACAAACCTGAGATGGCGACCATTGCTCCATATATTGTCTCTTTGTCTCGGCTATTGTCCCACAAGCGAAACCTCAGTTCAGATTCCCGGCCCCAAACTCAGCTTGCCGATCCTCAGTTCACAAAGCACGACCTACACCTGCTAGACACGAGTACATTGCGATAAAACCTCAGTACAGTGTCGCTGAACCTCAGTTTGATCTTGCCGAACCTCAGTGTAATCTTGCCGAACCTCAGTGTAGCCGAGCTGTACTGCAGTTCTCGACCTGGTCTTCATGTGTGGTGTCTACTGTAGACTGCATACTGTTAACAGACTAGTCTTTCTAGAAAATCATTAAAGTTGTTGAATGAGAGACCAGATTGTAGACTTGAGGACCTATTGATAATCCACGACCTAGCACCACAAATCGATGACAAACTGCGCGCTTGCACCCGAATAACAGCACCAAACACGATCACGGACTTGGATGTACGGCGTGCGACCTTGCTCGCCTATTTTTTGTACAGATGCACCGTCATAGGTGGCCTTCGAGGACAACCGAAAAAGTCGGGAATTGGCGAGCACGACTGCTCTTTTTTTCGCCCTTGGACCAGAGTCGGTTGGCGTGCTTCTGGCGGAAATACGGGTACGTGGTACTGTTGAGCTAAAGAACTTGATTTTCGTTTGTCGTCCGACGCTGTTTGTGATGTTGTCTTGGTACAGCGAGAATGAGTAGCCTACAACGAGGTATGTAAACCTCTGGGATATCGGGCCAGGGAGGTATGAGACCTCCCAGTCACGCATATGATTGGCTGTCAGCCTGGGACATCAATACGGGCGCATCAGATCTTGATAGCTAGAACGGTGTACGTACTCGAGGCAACGTCAAGGAACTTGAATAAAAAACATACTCCCTCTCAGGAGGTCTCAGTAATTGACGAGGCAGCATTTGTCCAACAGATGCAGAGTGTTGTGCAGGCGTGGCGGGAGAGGAGGGTGGGGGACGCGCGACATGGAAGACCACCGACGCTGGCGCTACCGTGGCGCATCAGCGCG